AAAGCATTTATCGGCCGATAACGATATGGCCGCCGATATATCGTGCATCCCTATAATCCAGAGTTGTTCAAGCATGTCCGCGAGCGCAAGATGAGAAATAGGTGTTTATTTGGTTATTTTTTTAATCAGAGAAAGTCTATATTAAAAATACATTTCTATTCATAAACGTAAGTAATAAAAATAATGTTTTATGTTGTCTCCACATTTCATCCAATATTTTTAGCAGCCTGAGTTTCTAGTATTCATTCATTCATTCATTCAACCACCGAGAACAGCTTCTCTCCCATGGTGCAAGTCAGAACTGTGCGACTGCCACAAGGGGGCGTATTCCAACAGTCGTGTCCAAATGTCGTGTGCAGTGGAAAGGCAGCTTATGTCTGCGCGGTAACCACTAGGCTACTGCGTCAACATTGATAATTTTCTAACATTTTAATTGGTTGCAATCATTTTAAAAAAATCTGTGCTTAGCACGAGCCTTAAGAAAACTTTCTGTTGCCTAAGGGCAGCGCAGTGCTGTAGAGGGTTAAGAATAAAATGTATTGCATTCTTTGGAAGAATGTATTTGGATTGTGATGATATTATATTGTCATTCTGGCAATACATAATAAGTGGCATAAAAGGGTCTTAAAATGACAATAATATTGTTTATCGCAATATATTTTGGTCCAATATATAGTGCAACAAAAATTAGACATCATGAAAGACCTAAATGTAATACAAAAAAAAAAGTTGACACCATCAACAAACATCTCAAACAAGTATTTTCAGAGCATCACCAATAAAATCACTTTGTATGTTATTCATCAATATGAAGTCTATGTATATGCAAGCAAGCGCAAAATGACTTGTTTATATAATCTCCAGACAGTCTTTAAAATGTTGCCACTTTTAATAGTTCAACTATGCAGGAAGCAACAGCACAGAAATATGCTACAGCTTGTTCCTCTTTTACCTGCTGTATAGTCAGAGAACGCCTCAACTCAGCCTGATGCACTTGAGAATTTAAATTACACCAATGCTGAGGCAAAACTATTTAAACATGACAGAGTAAAATTCAGCCGCCCTCAGGGTAAAAATACACAAACACAAGACTAGACATTTCAACACCGCCTCGTGTGTGTGTGTGTGTGTTTTTTTCCCAGCTCAAAGTGGAAGTCACCATAAACGCACTGAGCAACACAAACAGGTAGAGTTTATTCTGAGAGTAACCTTTCACTCACAGACACAATGTTAACCACAATAATTTAAAAGAGCTAAACAACTCCTCTCTCCTCCAGCAAGCAGAGCAGAGATATATTCAACAAGAACACTGGAGATATTTCGAGTCTCAGTGAAGGAGAGCAGATAAAACTTGAATTATGGGCTAGACAAAGTTTGAAAACAATAAAAGACGCCGCTGATCCAAGATGAAGTCATCTCTAAACTTTCAAAAGCTGAGTTTGCACCCTTAAATGACTTTCTAGGTCATTTATTTATTTGTTAATAGTATTATGCATGTTCAAGGAAACATTTTACCAACAACAGCACCATGCAGTGCAATGCGTCACAACACGCAAGTCAACTCACTCAGAGCTGTCAATCACAGCAGGGGGAATGAGGCAAACGTACAACAAACAGCATGTCAACAATGCAGTCTATTATGCTGTTCGAGAAGGAAGAAATATATACTGTAAGGGAAAATATAGTTCAGCTTTTACTGATGATGTCTATTGCGGATAAGTTGATAGAAGGGCAATGGAAAATCTTCTGGGGTAAAACAATGCAAAAAAAAATTTACAAAATAAAATAAAATAAATATATAATCATATAAATGTAAAGTTTTAAACGCATTGTCTCAAGATAATTGAATAACTGTACATTAAACAGCTAAAAAAAAAAAAAGTTAAATAAAATAAAAATTAAAACATTAAATTAATTAATTAAATTACATTTCTTAAAAATCATTAAATTTTTATTAATGAATAAAAAAATCGTTAATAATTAAAAAAATGTATATTTTAATATTAAATACATTTAAATTTAAAAAATCATTAAACTTAAATAAAATTAAATAAAAAATTATTTAAATTAAAAAAATATTAAAATTTAGAGAAAATCTAAATAAATAAGTAGAGACTTTACTTTGAATGTATAAAATTATGCTTATATAAATAAATGTAAAAGTAAACATTAATAAAGTAAAGTTTAATAACATTGCTTTAAAATGGACTAAATTAATATAATTCGATTATAAATAAACAAGCAAAAAAAAAAAACTAAATATTTTCAAAATTATACATAGATTTTTTCACAAGATATAAATGTGAGAGTGGGAAATACAAAATTTTTTTTTTTTTTTAATTACACCAATATTACATTGGATTGCTGAACCATCTAAATAAAAGTATTCCTGAGGATTCAATCTTAAATACCCTACAAAATAAGAAATATGTCTACATACAATAAAATTAAGATGTCGGTCAGGCTTTTGGTGCATTGTGACTATAATGTTAAATCATTTTTAAAGCCAATAAAATATGTAGAAGCAAAAGGGGTGGATTTAACCAATAAGCAAGTTTAGCAGCCGCTTAGGGCCCCAGATAAATATCTAGAAGTATAAATTATACCTATAAACAATATATAACATTGTTTTCTATCATATTTTGTATGGGGAGAGTTAAACAAATACAATTTTAAAGTAACAAAATTTTATTTAATATAAATTCAAATATAATATTATAATAATGTTATGTAATAATATCATAAAATATAATTATTACATCTGAACAAATTTGTCCACCGCCTATTAATCATAGAGCAATACAGTAGTCAAATTTATAAAAAGAAAAAAAAAATATAAATATATATATATATTTTTTTTTTTGCATTAAGATATAACATAGTAAACATGTTTTATGTGATATAAAAAAACAACATCTAAATATATAACAAAAAATTAAATAAAAGTATAAAGGGTGCATTTTAGGACTGTTGGGGCCCCAAAATTAAAATGTGCTGTTTTTTTTGAGTGGCAATGTTTTTAAATAATAATATTAATAATAATAATTATTATTATTATTATTATTAGTAGTAGTAGTAGTAGTAGTAGTAGTAGTAGTAGTAGTAGTAGTAGTAGTAAACTTTAAGATGTTGAACTGAACTTAAACACTAAAAACTGAACTACACTGTTCCAGATACTATGACCATTTATGTGAAGCTGTTTTGACACAATCTACATTGTAAAAGCGCTATACAAATAAAGCTGAATTGAATTGAATTGAATGTCTGTGATAGCCTAGATTATTATAATTTTTATTTTATTTATTTATACAGGGACAATGTACAACATGACATGTTGTGCCAGAGTTTGCTATAAAGCTAATTTACATCTGTAGTCCCTGGGCAGGAAGTTGTAACAAATTTAACAGTAAAAAAAAACACCACAATATATACTTACACTACAATACATCACAGTCAATAAAATTAAATCAAATCAGTGGCTGCATATTTAATTTAGTTTAAGCCAAATGTTAAGAACAGTTTAAAAATTATTAAAAGTGGTACTCTCTCTGATATGCACTGGTATTTTATTCCATCTTTCTGCTGCTCTGACTGAAAAAAACTGATAGTCTAAAAACAGTTCTCTTGAGTTTAACTGAACAAATCAACCTCTAACCGATGACCTAGTCTGTCTTATATTGTCCTTGCAGACAATCACACATTGTTTGAGGGGTGGTGGTGCAAGATTATTAAACATTTTATACAATGAACAACAACATCAGCATAAAATAAGAAACTGTTGAATGTTATTCATTCATGTTGTGCAATACAGTTACAATAATGATAGCTCCTTGGCTTTTTAGCTGAAATGTTTAGTTTGTTTATAGATCATATACAATGGTTTTAATGTTGTAATGTTTGTGTGGGACCAGCTTGTGGCACAATTTAAGATAAATGATGGAAAATCATTGTATTCATAAAAACATTTAGCAGCAGCCATAGGTAAACAATGTCTAATATGTCTTTAAATCCTCAGGCTTGCTTTAGCACTTTTAGAAACTGTCTTGATGTGTTTTTAACATTTAAAGTAGAGTCAATAATTATACCTAAATATTTAAAATGATCAGCTATATTTACTACTTTAATTACCACTAATACTTTACATTTATAAATCAATCACATTAATTACATTGAGATGCATTGATTTACTTTGGAGCTCTAGAGGATTCTAGTTTACTTCACTGAACTGTAAATGAAGGACCCCATGGCTAGAATTGCTTAGGACCCCCAAATCACTAGATCCACCCCTGACAGGCAATCAGTGCGAGTGTGTACACTGTAAAAATGCTGAGTTCCAAACAATTCCTTCATAATGTCTCAACACATTCAAGTGAACTTTAACTTAAATATATGTTGATTGAACACAGAAAATCAATTTTGCACCCAAAAAGCTCAAGAATTGTGTAGATTGAGCTTATACATATAGTTTGAACATGCAGGAAAAAAACCTATGCTAAGTGTAGGAGATAAAACATTTTATCCGGTGGCAGGAAATCACTGCAGTTCTCTAATATGCCCATGTTATCTGTGACAGTGGGAACCCAGAATTAGAATCAAAGCAACGCGCGCGATTACATCTTTCGCGGGAAAATGGAACGCGATCAAAAAGTTACATCACATACGCGCGAAAAAAAGTTGTTACAAAGTATCAACGCGCGTCTAACAATAAGCAAACAATGCATCCATGATCTCCATTCAGGCCGCCGTGCAGGAAACACTGGAAATAGGCGCGTCTGTATCAATCTCCACGAAAACACACACACATATCATCCCAAACACACTAAAAGCGCAACAAATACACAGACAAACGCACATAATCATAATAAAACAACCCCAAATATGCTGTAGTATTCCAAAGCAGTCGCATGGAAAGAGAGGAACTGTAAACACCGTTTGTCCCTCAACTTAAGAAATGGGACTAAAAGTTGTTTTAGCCCTTGCAAGTTTCCTTTTTTACTCACCCACTCCGTACTTCTCCTTTTTTGTAGGCACCCAGCGCGACATCCTCACTGCTGAAGGTGTTGTGAGTGTTGCTGTCGCTATTCCAAACAGATATCCAGAGGTTTTCCACACACTTTTTCTCGCTTCTCTGTAGGAGTGGAAAGACTCAACTGGCCGCCATTTTCATATCCACCATCACTGAACTCGAGAACCGCGAGGGGGAGATGTAAGAAACTTTTTGTCATGTGGGACACCAGCGTCACCGTGACCGGACAGTCCCACAAAAAAACATATTGAGCTTTAAAAATTATCCCCTATTATCTGTAGAAGGTATACCAGTTAGGGAAGCTGTTAACTATTTAGGTATTGTCATTTCAAAAAATGAACAAGATAGAGTTTCCTTAAACTTTAACCCTGTTTTCGAAAGGATAAAAAGTAAATTCATTTCTTGGTTATTAAGGGATTTATCCTAAAGGGGCAGAGTTCTTTCGAAAGTAGAAGGAATTTCACATATTTCAACCACATATCTACATGATAAAACAGCGAAGTCCATCGATAGGATTATATTTAAATTGTTATGGAAGAATCGTGAACACTTCATCCGTAAATCTGTTGTTTTAAATTCCCTTAAAAATGGGGTCTTGACTTTTTAGATTTCCCTTCTCTAAATAAAACTCTTAAAAATAATTGGTTTAAATTCTGTTTGAATAAACCTTCTCTCTTCAATTTTATTCCCAATTTTATTTTTGACGTTCTATTATTATGCGATTATAAATTTGTAAAATTAAGTGAAGCTTTCTGCTTTTCATGCTCAAGCCTTGTTGGCGTGATCTACAAGCACAATTTTTCACCACAACGTTATTTTATTTGGAACAATAGACATATTTTGTATAAACGCAAGAGTTTATTTTTGGAGAGGTGGTTTGAAAAGGGAACTGTTTTAGTTTGTCAATTGTTGAACACTCAAGGGTATCTTATGATATATGACGAGTTGTACATTTTAACTCTCCTGTAACTCCCAAAGAATTTTCTCTTGTTTTCTCTGCAATTAATTCTAATATTATTTCCTTATTTAGAGATGCAACTTGGATTCATAAGCTCATAATCAGTCTAGCTGATACAATGTGTGGTAAAAATTTGTTTCTCACAGTCTGAAAATAACAAATCTATTCACTTTCTTTTTTTTTAAACCAAGTTGTTTCCAAACCCTAGCTCTATTTCCTCCTGGAACAATTTTGTAAGAATTCCTAAATGGGAAAGTATTTGGTCATTGCATTACGAATTTTTGGTTACAAATAAGATAAAAGGAATATCTTTTAAACTAATTCATAAATTCGACCCAGTTTAACATTTCCTCAGTAAATTTAAAAGGGATATTGATATAAATTGCTCTTTTTGTTCTTTGTATTTGGAAATTGTACCCCACATCTGTTGGCACTGTGGTTATGTTAAAAAGTTTTGGTATGATGCTTCTGTTTTTATAAAAAAAAAAGAAAGAGAAAAAAGGTATTCTTTAATTTTAATCTGCATTTTGAAAATGTAATTTTTGGATATTTTTATTATGATGATTTGAATAACAACATTTTTGGTATTAACCTATTTATTTGTTAGCTAAGTTTAATTTTAATAAGTGCAAATTTTCCCAAAAAAACCCTGTTTTACTTTGTTTTATAAGAAACTGAAAAATTACTTTTGCACTATTTAGCATAGTGCTAATCGTAAAGCCATTAAAACTGTCCAACTGTGCTCTAGTTTCAAAATATTTGATTACTGTAAAGATCCTGCTTATTTGTATTTGTAAGAATTTTAGCTAATTATTTATACTCTTATTTTTATGTTTGTTTTATTTATTTATTTTTGGTACTGTTGTTATGATTTACTTTCTCTCACCCTGGCATGGTTTTGTTTACTATATTGTCATGTATCTGTTGTTTAAAGCATGATTAAAAAATAATAATAAAATAAAACAAATGAAATATTGTGCGACTATGAAGCAGAGAAACTTCCTATTAAACTTTCAGCCTTTCACATACAATCTTTTAGCTTGGAATTTAACATACAAAAATAATTTCTCCCCACATTAATGCTATATTTGGAACAACTGTAATATTTTGTACAAACCTAAAAGCTTGTTCTTAAAAAAACAGGTTGAAAAAGGATTACTATTTATTTTATTTTTATTTTATTTATTTATTTTTTTGGTGGGACAGGGACTAAATTCCCAAGGTTACCTAATGACTTATGAAGAATGTTTTTTCACATTTTAATTTTCTTGTGTCCCATTAAGAATTTGCGATGGTCTTTGCTGCTATTACACACTATGTAAAAGTTGCTCATTTTCAGGAAATATCTCTTTGTTACACCCTAAAGATACACTATGTGGGCAAATTTGTTTTTCTTCTTACTAAAATGAGGCCACATGTTCCTTGTTTCAGTCTCTCTTAATTAGTACATAATGGGTTCATCATAGATTTAAATTGGAAAAAGGTATTCGTTGCCTAACAAATTCTTTATTACAAACAAATTTAAAGAGGTCTCATTTAAAATTCTGCATACATTTTACCCCGTCAAACATTTTCTTTCCAAGTTTAGAAAGAATATAGATCAAAACTGTTCCTTTTGTTTGTCGCAGCCAGAAACTGCCGCATAGTTTTTGGAATTGCCAGTTCTCGAAGCAAATATAAGACCAATTTCATAAATGACTTATTATTGCCAAATATCCATTTAGAATATTGGGTTTTTACAAAAATAAATAAATAAAGAGAAGGAAGCTTATGCTATTATAATATTTACAAAGTACCAGTACCATATTCACAGATGCAAATGTAATAACCAAAAACCATTTTATCCTGCTACACTAATTAAATTAAAACACTATACAAACAACATAGAGCAAAGCACTAATAAAAAAGCCATCAAAGCTGCTTTTTTACATGAAACCTTCTAGATTTTGTAATCTCACATAGCCCTTCTCTGTTAGTATGTATACTCATGCATTGTCTTATATGTCTTGTTCTGTACACCCCTGATATTTTTCTTTTTTTTCTTTTCCATTTCTTTTTGTATTATTCTAAATGTAGTTCTTCAAGCACTAATAAAACAATTTTAAAAAATGTAATATTATGAGCTGTCGAAGTCTCAATCAAAATCCAGGCCTGTAGCCAGCCTATTACAAGGGTGGTTCTTTTTTTCCAAAAGTGGACCTTTTTGCAGTTATTAGCCTCAAATTATGAGGTTCAAATACTGTTAGTGACATTTTAAGCACTGATTCGTGCTGGATTAGCTTGCAAATACTTCCTACATTTTTTATCAAAGTGCTCATCATACTGTTTTTTGTTCACAAAGAATGTTTATTTACAAATGTGCATTTAAACTGTAAGCTAATACAGTTTTATATATATTGTAATGAGATTAGACTTTTAGAAATGTGAAAAATAATAATTTTTTTAATTTATTTTTAACAATTATAAAAACAAACAAAACTGAGAATTTGTGAAAAGTTGTTTAACATAAAAACCTGTAGCCAATAGGCAAATAACAAACTGGCCAGTTCATTTCCTCAGTCACAGTTTGTCTGTTTAAATAATAAGCCTTCTTTTATTGGTTATTTTATTGGTTATTCTTCTTAAAGCCTTTTTGATTGGTTATTTTCACAATTTATGATGGCATACTGTCAAAAATCGGACAAGTGGAAGTGTGCTTACTGTAAAGTGTTTTAGGTTGACTTTCCAATTTCATTAAAAACAAAATCTTATTTCCAAACTTATATTTCCCAAAAAGTTGTATTCTTTGGTTACTCTCTGAATTTAGATCCTTTTCATGGTACATTTATAATTAATTTAATGCTTTTTCTGGCTAAATTTTACATCCATAAATGTAAATGTCTTGGTGTAAATCATTTAAACTTGTTTAATTTGGTGGAATTGTATTTATGTAACCCTTCTTAACTCTTTGTTCATACTGAATCTTTGTAAATGTTCTTTCTTAAATAATAAAATATTATATAAATAGTTTATAGTCTACAGAACAAACCATCATTATACAATAACTTGCCTAATTAACTTGCCTAGTTAACCTAATTAACCTAGTTATGCCTTTGAATGGCACTTAAATCTGAAAGTGATTCAGAAACTGGGGAAAAATAAACAGGGGGGCTTATAATTCGGACTTCAACTGTATAGTTTTTAACATTTTAAAAATTAAAGAAAAAATTGTAAAAAAATTTTTTTAAACATTTTTAAAAAACTGTATAGTTTTTAACATTTTAACATTTACAAAGATACAATATGAACAAAAAGATAAGAAGGGTCACACACACACACACATATATATATAGGTGCATGGTGGCGTAGTGGGTAGCACGTTTGCCTCACAGCAAGAAGGTTGCTGCTTCAAGCCTCGGCTGGGTCAGTTGGCTTTTCTGTGTGGAGTTTGCATGTTCTCCCCGTGTTGGCGTGGGTTTCCTCCAGGTGCTTCGGATTCCCCCATAAGTCCAAACACATGCACTATAGGTGAATTGGGTAAGCTAAATTGTCCGTAGTGGAAGTGCGTGAATAAGTGTGTATGAATGTTTCCCAGTGATGGGTTGCAGTTGGAAGGGCATCGGCTGCGTAAAACATATTCTCGATAAGTTGGCAGATAATATATACATTTTTATTATATTTTATTAAATCATTATTATTATTATTATTATTATTATTATTATTGTACATTTTACTTCTCCAAAATTCCAAACTCCAAAATGTGGTTGTGATTTGTGATTTTGTGATATCAAGGTACAACACTGTTCACAGTCAATTAAATAATGCTAATGTTGTTTTCAAGTCATACTTATGATTTCAGATCGCCTCACAGCAAGAAGGTCGCTGGCTGGGTCAGTTGGCATTTCTGTGTGGAGTTTGCAGTCCAAAGACCTGCGCTATGTATTAGATAAACTAAGCTTGTTCATAGTGTGTGAGTGAATGTGTGAATGAGAGGGTTTTGTTTCCCAGGACTGAGTTCTGACTGGAAGGGCATCGGCTGCATAAAACATGCTGGAATAGTTGGCAGTTAATTCCACTGTGGCAACCCCTGCTTAATAAAGTGACTAAGACAAAGGAACATGCAAACTCCACACAGAAATGCTGCGACCACAGCACCCACCTTCTTGC